GGTTGCCTGGGGCTGGAGAGATGGCTCAGAGGTTAAGAGCACTGACTGCTCTTCTAGAGGTCCAGAGTTCAATACCCAGCAACCACATGGTAGCTCACAACCATCAGTTATGAGATCTGGAGCCCTCTTCTGGTGTACAGATATACATGGAAGCAAAATGTTGTACACATAATAAAATAAATAAAATATTAAAAAAAAAAAGAAATTAAGGCTGCCAAAATGTTCAAGGTATTTCCATGTTGCGGTGACCTTGTAACATGCAGACAGGTCAGGCAGGTGGTTTTCCGGAGAAACTGTATTTTCCTTCAGGATCTTTGTGTGGGTTCTGCTGAAACACCATCAGGTACACCAACATGAAAGCCCTTCCCTCCCCCTCCCCCCCAATCCCCACTTCTTGGCCTCAGCAATCAACAACTCTGAACACATCAGTTCTTCTCAAACAGTTTAATAGCAAATAAACAAAGGAAGGTACCACACTTGGCAGATACAAAATGACTTTTTGTCCGTGTGTCTGTGCAATTAAAACAGATTTAGGTTCCCCATTGGGACAAAAGGAAAAACACACAAAAAAAAGGAAGGAGAGTCCTTTTAAACACATACTCCCTTGCTCCAAACTTTTAACAACTTTTTTCTTTTTTAATCCACTACACAAACTGTGATTAGGTAAGAAAAGCGACAAGGGCTCTTCTTGCCCTTTTTTTTTTTTTTTTAAAACCATTAAAGCAAAATCCATAATTTTCTACAGAGTACAACACAAGTTCACACACACACAAAAAAAGACATCTTTTGTAAATCAAACAGGAAAAAAGGAAAGCTCAAACAAGGTCAAGGAAAAGCATTACTACGGCTGAATCACGACTTTGAGTTGATTGAATCCCGTTGTTGCTGCAGAACAGACTGTGCGTTTGGTCATAGTGGCAATTTTTTTCTCTTCACATTGTGAAATCACTTTACATTGTTTTCTAGTAGAAAAGGCAAAAAACTGTACAAAACCCCTAGTGTTAAATACAACGTTTGTACCAATAAAAAACTCACACAGGTTTGTCTCCAAAATGTAAAGTTTCTTTTTTTTTTCTTTTTAAATTATTCACAAAAAGCAGCTGGAAATCAGAAAGGCAGCTGCCGCTCCAGGGTCTCAAATCCATTAAAACCACTACAGAACAATTAAAACAATCAGAGAAAAGGAAAAGGAAACAATGTCCAACATTTGGCATTTGGTTTTATCCACAGGTTTTCCCAGAGCTCCTCTTGGAATTGAAAGCAAAATATATTGGCAAACACAGCTTCTCAATACACAGGAGGGGGAGCCGCAGTGCCTCCTGCCAACAGAGGCGGCTCTGTGCAATCAGACTGTGGGGCACACAGCAGGTTCTCTCAGGCTAGGGCTCTGGCTTCATTCCATCCCACACCACCCCTTCCAGGACATTGAGCAGCCTACCTACAGGGGTCCTCCACTTGGCTGCCTTTTCTTCCTAGTAAGGTGGCCTCAAGCATAATATATTAGGCAACCTGTGTAGGGTCCCAGAGCAGAAATTCTGCTGGAGTCCCTTCTTTATTAGCTGGGTGTGATGATGCTAGTCAATGCTTCCACACCCCACCCCACCCCATCCCTTGATGCACCTTGCCACCCTTCCCTGGACAATCTTGCTTCCACTCTCCCTCCCACCAGTGCTTAAGTTTCAGTGGGATCTGTCAAAATTCCTCCCTGCTGCCTCTGCTCTTCACAGACCTATCATCCCTGTCCACTAATTTCCTCTAGCCTCTCCTCTCCTATTCACATTCTTGCAAGTCCCCAAGACCCTGAGGCTGGATGGTGCTACAAGACAAGTGGGTAATTTCCCCTTAGGAAACCAAAGAACTGGCTGGCCTGGCACCTGGGGACAGTAGCTATTTGGCTCTTCACTGAATTTAAAAACAAATTCTTGTCCTTACCCCAACTCTACTAGCTAAGTAAGAGCAGAGCCATAGCGAAGAGCCAATGTGGGGTGGTTGGTGCCCAGGGCTGTAAACAGTGTGAAGACTGTAGTATTTATTGTGCTTGTCACCTAGGAAAAGAGCAGGCAGGTGTATTGCCACTCAGTGTGCAGACGGCTTCTCCTCTGGGTAGTTAGGGGCACAGCACCCTCCCTCCTCTGTGATATAGCCTTGATGTGCTAAGCCTCCTGCCTACCCACAGCCACCTTTGGCTCTGCTTCTGCCTCTCTGGCCCCCTGTCCTCCCTAAGCAGAGCAGCCAGCCTCCTGGATGCCCCACTGAGACCTGGAGGCCATCAAGAGTGACAGTCTAAGTGCACAGGCAAACACTCTAAGGGCAATAGAGGAGAAAGTTGCCACTTCAAAATAAAACAATACAACCTAGAGAGAGAAAAAAATCAACCCCGTAACAATTTAAAACATCTTCTTTGAAACCCCTTTAAATCAGTCAGTTTTTGCACAAACTATAGAAAACAGAGAGGTGAAGGTGATACATACGAAGGTGTGAAGAAACAGCAGGAAACATGCACAACTGGTTTTTTCTGGGCATAATCTTAGTAGTAAAGGAAAAATTCAAAACAAAAAGGCAAAAATACAAAACCCAAAAAAATTTCAAAGCATCACATTTTGCTGTGGAGACTGTAGGAATAAGCATGGATGTGAGCTGGTTGAGCTGGGGGTGAGGTGGAGGAGGACAGGGACAGGGACAGGATGGGAAGGGAAGGGACGAGAGGGGACGGGACCCTAGGGCTTCCCTGCAGGACTGCTTCAGGAAGAACCACAAAAGGAAAACAAAAAGGTTAGCTGGGGCCCAAACCTCAGCCTCAGTGAAAAGGAAACGGGGTGGGGGTATTTCAGGTGTTTTCTGCAGTTGAAAACTCAGAAAAACAAAAATTAATAACACATGCGGTCTCCTCAAGCCCCAAAACTGTATCAGCAAAATGTGTTCAGGAGCCTCAAAGATTTTTAGTGACATCGTTTATTTCATTGTTTATTTCAAAGTTGTCTTTAAAACTAAGCACACAGAGGAACAAAGCCTGGAAGCGGACTGGCTGTGTGTTCACAGGGATACAAACACCACACGGCATGTGCTAGTAGGGCTGCTCTGAGACAGTTACAAAGAATTGGAATCACAAAATCAAGTGGTTATCTTATGAAGTTCTAGAAAAATAGATTTTTTTTATATTCAAATGCAAGTTTAAATATTTTCCCTTCAGCAGTCGTTCTAGCAAAACCAATTTTGGCAGCACAAAAGGGAAAAAAAAAGAGAGAAAAAAGAAAAAACAAAGAAAGAAACAAACATAATAAAATACACATCAGCATCAAAGGTCAACACAAGGTCAAAGGTGAGAGTTCAAGCATCAGAGAAGCTGAAGAGACAGGGATTTGGACGATGTACTTGACGCCACATCGACATGCTTTAGGCACAACGATGAACAAACGGCAGGAATCTAGAAAAAAAAACAAACCAGAAAGAGGGAGATCCACTGAGTTACACAGAGCAATACATCCAAACAGAGAGAGAACAGGACACTCACTGTGTGCAGCCCTGAAATGAGGAGGTGGGGAAGGGCAGGGGTGGGGAATGACAGGGACTTTTGCACATGCTAACAATGGACACAGGGAAAAGTTCAAAAGGACATGGAGGACACCAAGAGAACACCAACTGCCAGAGACAGAAGGGAACCTAAGGCTTGGATTTCCTGCAAAGCACCTAATACATCAAGACAGTCTCTGGGGTAAGCAGGGCCTCAGCCGCTTTCCCACTACCTGGTGAGACCGGAGGGGAGAGGAAACAAAAAATGCTGACTACAGTGTAAGGGAGATTACTTAGGGTAGAAGGCCAGAGTTTCTTGCTCAATCTTGGGATGGCCCTTTGTTCCCAGAAATCCAAGCCCTAAGCTTCCACGTAGGCCCTGGCCACTCATGTGGAACCCAGGAGATAGTGGTCGGGCTGCAGTGAAGGCAAATCAATGGCATGATATAATTCAAGAAACAAACTACAGCAGAAAACACACTGTAAGTGAAACCTCCACACAACAGAAATGGATTGCTTAAGACTTCACTTCAGTCTCCACTCTGAACTGAGCCCTTTCACATCAAGACTTACAGGGGAGCAGCTTCTTCAACAAAACCATCTTTGGCCTGGGGAGAGAACTGTGCTCAAGGACAGTGCTACTGCTGTGCTTATGCACTGGGCAAAGGGGGCCAACAGAAGTTCATGGTCTCACCAGCTGGCTGGCTGCCTGAGCACACCATGGCTCTGCTGGGGCAAGTACTCCTTTTAGAGCCACAAGTAGGTATGAAGTATGGGGTCTGTTCCAAAGGCAGAGGGTCACACATTTGCCTCTAATATCATTAGGAAGGTGGTTTCATAAGGTCCCAGAGCACAGGACAAATGGTGAAATGGGAGACAGAGGGAAGAACATGGTGTTCTGGCCAAGGAGGAAGATAACAGGAGGTTAGGGAGCACAGCACTGGCAGCACCCTATGGAGCACAGCTCTCGCCTCGGCCGATTCACAGCATTAATGTTAGCCTTCCCCTTGGACAGGTTACCTGGGCTGCAAATGGTCACAGAAAGTCAGTAGTTTCAATCATACACAGCACTCTGTGTGTACAACAATCACATTCTGGATTCTACAAAATCCTGGCCTTTTCCAGAGATATAATTTAGGTAATAAATATTCTCCACCCCGGAGCTGTATAAAACTTCTATAAAAATAGAAATGACATTCTTGGTTCCAGCCAGTTGGGATTCAGAACAGTGCCTGCCCAACCTAGCATTTTTCTTTTTTTTTCCTTTTTAATTTTTTTCATTTTTATTTTTTATTTTTTGCATTTATTTTTAAAAATCCCATCATTACCCTGGAAGCCTTTAGAACAGTTTTATCTTGAAACACAGGACACTTTTCTCCCGTTGCACAGAATTCAAGTTTACGTGGTTCAGTTTAAGAAGTGTATTATATTTCATGTTTTTAAGAGGACAATAGACCCAACTTATCACTATGAGCAGAGAAGTGCTGTACCAGCTTCAATGGGATAATCCAACACTAATAACTACCTGTACAACAGCAAGATGGTCAATCCCTGTATGTTACCTACAGGGACAGCATGATAAGCAGAAGTGTCCCTGTCTGACTTAAAAACAGGCTAGACCCTTTCTTCTTCTAATCTCTGCTGCTAGGAGTCAAGGCTTTTAACTTGTGAGGTTTATGCTTTCAAGGACCTAGGAACCCAAGCTATTGGCTGTGGCCAATAGTCATATGCTTATGGGGCTACCTCTGCTCAGATGCACATTCCCAACAGCATTTCTTATAGCAAAAGCAGAGCCTAGAGGCTGTGTGGGACACTGGCAAACACTGGAGTTAACACCGGTGAAAGGCAGCAGGGAGCTAACTGTAAGCATGTTGACAAAATGACATGAGTTAATACTGAGGTAAATGAACACTAAATCCATATGGAGCCTGTAAACGTCCTGTACTCTCTTCTGTCTCCAACGGCAGAAGATGGGGCTAGAGTGGCTAGAAGAGGCTTGTCAGACCTCTGTGGAAACACAACCTCTGGGATACCTTCATCAAAGAGGCAGCAGTGCACTTCTGCACCTTCTTGAACACTAGGCTCTGCTCAAATACAGTTTGAAGAGACCCTGATTCAGGTACATCATGAAGCAGGTCCCTCCTCCCTCCATCAGATGGCTTCTGATTGCTCTGCCTGTAAACAGCACCCTTGTTAGGGAGATGCTGCAAAAGCTTCTTAGATCTGCCCTCATGAGAAAATTGCAGCTGGGGAAGGAGGCAATATTCCTTGCTGTGTTGAACTTTCATCAAAATAAACTTGGAAATGGGCAATGGCCTAACTTCACACTGAAATAAACTAGAAATGACCTCTTTGGCTGCTTCCCCCAAACAACCACCAGCCAGGCAGGGCAATACAATACCAATGGTGGACTGGGATGGCTAGTAATGGGTATCTCCCTGTTATTTGCATATTTCAGACTAAATTAAGAAGTGCTTTATTTCCTGAGACTTGCAGACCCCCTTCTAGGAAAAGAAGGGCAGAAATCCAGGACAAAAGTCAGAAAAATAGGTGACATAAGCTTAGCATTTCCACAGAAAGCAACTCGTTTGATATGAAGGGTCTAGATGCCAAGCAACCTCATCCACTCTGCCCCTGCAGCTCAGTAGACCTCACCCACCCCAGCACTCAGGGAGAGAGATTTGGAGGATCAACTTTCTGTTCTGCTTAGTCCTCTCTCTTTCAGTGGTTTGGGGTACATTCTGATTATCTTTTAAAGCATTTCCCCCTTCCTCAGGGTGGACTGGTGTTGGTCCTTCTCAACATACTGGTTACAAACACAGCAAACTTTAAATAAAGGGAAAAGAAACAAAAACAAAACAAAACGAAACAAAAAAACCCCAGGATATGGCACCTAAACTCCAAAGTAAAACACTGGAAACCAAAGCACAAACTTGTCCTCTGTACGAAGCGACACTCCCACAGAAGGCAGTAGCTGAGTCTTCAGGGCAAGCTGTGCCTGCGAGAGTGGCAGGGATCAGGGTCCAGGGCTGTCAACACACAGCCTTAGGGCTTCCAATGATTAAGGGTGCTCCTCCCCCACTTACCAGAAGATCTTCTCACTCCAGTCTCAGAGGGGAGCACTCTCAGTAGGGCTTGCTATCATTCTTCGAACGTTTGAGCTGCACTTTAAGCCTCTTCATTCCAATCTGAAAGCCGTTCATGGACTGGATGGCAGCTTGAGCTGAGACAGGATTGTCATAACTTACAAAACCTGTATGGTCAAACAGAAACCTAGGTGAGAGACTAAGTAAGGCAAGGAGTCTCAGTCCTCTTTATGCAAGAAGTTATCTATGTATTTAGTCTCAAATCTCAACTGTTCACAGCAGGCATGAAAATTCTGGCAAAAATATCAACATTAAAAACAATTAGGTTCTCAGCAGTACCACCTTTGGACCAGTACTGTTAGCAGAAATCACCACCTCCACTACAGGTAAAAGTAAAGTTCAAAAAGAGATCATATGATCTGCTGAGGTCAAATCAGCTTCCTCTGAATTTGTCTGCAGCTCCTTTCTTTCTCAGTGGCAAAATACTAAATCCCATTCTGACAACAAGAGAAGTCAACATACCAAAACACTTGCTCAGGTTTGTCTGCTTGTCTATGAAAACCTTGGCAGACACGACATTCCCAAAGGGCATAAACATCTGCAGCAGGTCCTGGTCTCCAAACTCCTGGGGCAGGTGGTAGATGAACAGGTTGGCTCCCTCTGGACCTTCAAATATCCGTTGATTGGAAGAATATCAGTGTTAAGCATGCTTATCAGCCAGGGCTTATGGTCTCTCATTCCCATCTATACTAACACTAGCAAAAAAAAAAAAAAAAACCAACAAATTTATGCTTTGAGGGGAACTAAACAGATTCTCTCAATACAAGGCAGGAAACCTAGCAGTAATTCCAAAATTAAATTAAATTTCTCCCCTTGCAAGTGTCATCTCATGGAAACATGTCTTTTTGGTATTTTTATTTTTCTTTTTGGTTTTTGAGACAGGGTTTCTCTGTGTAACAGCTATGGTTGTCCTTGAACTCACAGAGATCCACCTGCCTTTGCCTCCCAAATGCTGGGATTAAAGACATGCTCCACTATTCCTAGTTCACGGAAGGATATTAAAGTCCCACCTTGCCAGAGAGGGTATACAGGGACTGGAAAGAAGATAGACCTGCATGTATAGTAGTAAAGCAGAAACTGGAGCACACAAGAAAATAAGGAAAGGGGGGTAAAATGGGTTATATGCTAAAACAAGTTTCAACCTGTGATCCTACCACAGGAGCCTGAGACAGGAGGATCTAAATAAATTCCAGGTCTGCCTGGGCTAACAAACAAACAAACAAAAACCAACAACAAACAAAACAAGGAAACAACAAAAATTAGGTTTCAAAGCTAGGTGACAGTGGTGCATGCCTTTAATCCCAGCACTCAGGAGACAGAGGTCAACCTGGTCAACAGAGTGTGTTTCAGGGCTGCTTTCCCCTGTCTCGGGGAAAACAAATAAAACAAAAACAACAACAACAAAAGGTTTCTGGATACTAAAGGGGCAACAAACAGGCTGGTAGTGCCAGGGGCAACAATCAGAGTAGCAAATAACAGTGGGATGCTAGGGAGTTTCTAGTAGATATTTATAAATATTCTCCCACTATGATAGTAGTTTCAGCACTATATAAACTTTTTTCCTCTCTCCATTTTTCTGTATAAACTCTTAAAGCTTTATACCAAAATGAGTGAATTTTGAATTTAGACATACCTAAGCTGTATCCCAGTAAAAAGAAAAGACTTTTAAAATGTGCCTACAGTCAATACTAAACTCAAAGCAGACTACACTTTCTTTACTTGCAATGTGATTTTCTAATGAAGAGTGACTAAGACAATAAATAACAATCCAGCCACATATGTCTCCTACTTATTATCAAACACATGGCCCTTTATTGCCCCCAGGTCCATGCACTTGCCATGTCTGTGCCACTTTTACTCTTTCTACTACACATACTTGGTTTGCTTTCTCACATCTTCCAGGTCTCTTAATACTAGTTCACACACTAAAGCCAAAAGGGCTACTTAATATCAGCACTCGGGAGGCAGAGGCAGGCGGATCTTTGTGAGTTCTGAGTTCGAGGCCAGCCTGGTCTCCAGAGCGAGTGCCAGGATAGGCTCCAAAGCTACACAGAGAAACCCTGTGTCGAAAAACAAAAAAACAAAACAAAACAAAACAAACAAACAAAAAAAAAACCCAAGTCAAACCCGAATACTAGCAGGAACACTGTCTAAAAAAGTCTTTCCTAAATTTAGTTTCATTTAAATGACCCACATCTCACTCCAGTAAACCAACAGACTATCTCACTCTATCCCATCACATTTCAGTATCTTATTTAGGACATTCATTAATCAGAAAGGAAAATGTCAAATGATATATACCTAAAAGGGATACTCAGACAATCCTCTGACTGATTCACAACCCAGAGGAGAATCCCCAACTAAACAAGATTCTTGTCACATGACCAGATGCAGTAATTACAGTGTCTATTTCTTTGTTAAAAACTAAGCTCCATCCTAAGAGGATCTGTAAAGATTCTGATCCCTCCCACCCCCAAATTGCAAACACTTCATAGTGTTAACCAGTCTGGTCTTGGCCTTGGCTGGAAAAAGTTTAGTTTGACCACCTATAGCCTGCTGCCTCAAACCTCACCTTCCATTTCTGGTGCACTCACCTTCCTTCTGGCTTCCAGCAGCACCGATACTCTGCTGTGTCAATAAATTCTGGTTGTACAGAGTGGGGAGTGCTGCAGCAGCATATTGCTGGATACCAGAATATGCCTGGGTGAGGGCCTCCATGGTGCTCCCAGTGCCATTGGAAAGGCCACTGCTGCCCAGACCGCCATTCAATGCAGCCATTCCTTTGTTGGAGGAAGAACAAGGTTAATATATTGGAAAGATTCAATTGATGCTGAAGACAGACATATTTAAGTTTCTAGAAATGAATCCCTCCCCTCAAAATGTGCCCATTCATCTGCCTCTTAACTTCCCACTGAATGAGATTATTATCTGACTGGTCCCATTTCAGGATACTTCACCAGGCTTTAATATTTATGTGAACATTACAAAATGTCATCAATGTTTTCTAGCACATGGAAGAACTGACACCATTCACAAATGCCTATGTGTATTTTTCTATGGCTATTCTATCTCTTGTTCATACAAATCTGGAATATGGTAAAGTAAGCCCCAGAATAAGGGGCTTATAAGATGGGAGTACACGCTATCATTAAAATAGCAGCAAACATTTACTGAGCATGTTCTGTGTGCCAGTAACTGAACTAAATGTGCCCACCAGCCCTTTGCCTATGTTCTTATTTAACTGTTTATTGTTTTTTTGCCTTTTTTTTTTTTTTCTTATTTTTTAAAGACAGCTTCTCTGTGTAGCTCTGGATGACCTGGAACTCACTATATAGACCAGCCTGGCTTCAAACTCACAGAGATACACTTGCCTCTGCCTCCCGAGTACTGGAATTAAAGGCTATGCCACCATTGCCTGGCATCATTTAACTTCTTAAGAACCCTTCCAAGTATTCTATTATTTCTACTTTATAGATAAGAAAATGACTATTAGAATGATGGTCCAAGATTCCAACTAGCTAAGTAGCAGAGTGTGGGTTTACCTCAGCACTGACAAAATCCTACCGTTATTCCTGACTTTTCTTGGACCAAGGCAATTATTCTGGGTGAGTTTATGGATGTGTCAATTATAAAAGTCAATTATAAAAGTAACCAGCCCATTACCTGCCAAAGAGCCAACGTTGAGGCCAGCTGTTGCTCCAGCTAATGTTTGCAGGGCTCCAAGTGAGGCTATGGGGTTGACAGAGTTACTGCTGCTGGAGCTCGGTGAAGATCCTGCTATTAGAAATCCAGGAGTTAAATTATCACTTGCCTTCTCTTGCCAACAGGAACCAAAGCACAAGAATGATCCTATCTAACTCTTCTATTTGCAAAACAGGGGTTTTGCAATCACTGAATTACTGAAATGACATCTGAGGTGGTCACCAACCCTAAGAACCTGAGCCTCATTCCTGGACCCACAAGATGAAAAGAATGTACACATTCTCACGCTCACAAATGAGAATGCACACACACCACACACCACACACCCACACCCACACCCACACACATGAACATAGCTTGCAGAGACTAGAAAAGGAAACTGAATTCTCTGCAGTCACAGGCTGCTTTAAGTTGCCTATTGTGGGTGCTAAGAACCAAGCTCAGGTATGCTCAAAGACCAGAACATGCTGTTAATCACGGACCTCTCCTGCCACAATAGTTTAAAATTTTTTAATGAGGAGCAAAAACAGACAAAAATTCCAAAAAGGGCGTGGCCCACAAATCTTTAATCCTAGCACTTAAGAGGCAGAGGAAAAAAGATCTCTTTCAGGTTCAAGGCCAGCCTGGTCTATACATTGAGTCCAGGACAGCCAGGACTCACAAGATACAGACTCTTGTCTCAAAAAACAAAATGGGGAAGGGGGGGGGGGGAGGATACCAAGACCTCTGAATCTTTGTTCATAATACAACCCACTTGTATATATGCTAATTCCTTTCCAAGATGGCATGCCCATCTCCTTAGTCTCTGCCTTCAAACAGAGAATCTGTCCAAGGAACACAATGCTCCTTATTGGCCCCTTACCTGAACTGGTGAGTACGCTGAGGGGACTGCTGGATGTAGTGAGGGCATTGGTACCACTTGGTGTGTTCTGAGCTGCACTAGCTGCAGCAGCTAGTGCAGCCAAATTTTGTAGCTGCATTGCATTTAACCCTGCAATATCCAGAAAAAGACATGAACCAGCAGATTAGGTGCCCAATGTTACTCCAGCAATGCCTGAAAACTGGTCCCAGACAATGAGGAAGTATTCTATGTAAGAATATACTTACTTTCTATATTTTCCATAATATACTATAGGACTCCAAAAGATCAGCTATCATTCAGTAAGAAACGTTAAAATAATGGGGTTCTAATTCAGAGGTATGGCATATGTTACCATGCATGGGGCCTTGGGTTCTCTCCCCAGCAGGGAGGAAAAGAGAAGAAACTTACAACCACTTTCTTAGAGAAGAGCTTGCTAATACAATAGCAATGGCACTCTAAATGAGCATTAATACTGACCTGCCAAACTGAGTAAGGAGCATACCTGTGCCCTATCATGGGACCAGGAGCTCAAAGGGACAGTACAAAAAGCTACAGTAAAGTAAGTCCCTCTTACACATATAGAGGTGCACTAAAGAGGTACAAAGAGGTCTTGAAGGCTCCATGGGAGTAACAGAAAAGAACAATAATAGAAGAAATAAAGAAAATGCTGTCACTGTAACAGTAAATTAATCATCAGAAGATGGCAGAAAAAAATGTGAAGGAAAGAATTGTAAGTGAAACCTCAGTAACACAGAGGAAGAACAAATTTTGCTACCCAAACCAAACCCAAAACCAAAAAGAATAAATCTGAATTATGTTGTGGTTTTGTAAAGCATTTTACTAGAGGACATAGAAACTATCAGGAGAGGAAAAGTAAAAACACCACACGTTATAATTTAATAATTTCCCCCCAAACACAGAAAACTAAATTCCCTAGGACAAAATCAATTACTATTAAAACTTCAAAACACAGTTCACCAACATGTCCCCTTTCTCTGTGTATGCTTAGCTACACTCCACTGCACAGGGTATAGGCACAGGCTGCCTCTTCAGGCTTTTCTATTAGCCAGTACCTCATGTCTGTCTTTAGAACTTCATTTTACTACAAACCATATTATTTATAATTTACATGAATTCAGAAACACAAAAACTCCCTGGCACTAGCAGCTTTGGTAAGTATTTACACAAAGTCACTGAATGTTACTTCACATAGGCATCTTGAGAGTTTTTTCTGCATCTGAATGGCCAACCCTGGATGGTCCCTAAGGGCTCTTGGCCATCTTCCTTCCCCAGCAGTGACTTAGAATGAAGTACACCAGACAACTTCAGAGCAATGTGGCACCAACCAACAATATGGCTACATAACAGAGATAAGAAATTTGAATCCCTAGATAGTCACCTTATGTAATGAGTGAAAAAAGTTTTGGCAGACATGGTGCAAAACTCTCAGACTGAGGCAGCTGTCTGCTGGCCTGTGTGCTGCTGCTCCTCTGCAGCAGTGAAGCACTTACCTCCCATTGGGTGGAGGCTGCTCAGGGTGTTGAGGTTCCCAGAGGAGGCAGTCTGCTGAAGGAGCTGCAAATAAAGCTAGACATTACACCAAAAAACAGAACAAGAGTGAGAGTGAGGGCTGGTTCTGCATCTGGGATAACTCTACAGCACAGCAAAGCAAGAGTGCAGAGGCCCCCAGAGAGAAGAAAGTCAAAGACAAGATCCCAAGCCAATGCAAGGCTAATGACTATACCCAACAAGAGCAACATAGCTAAAGCCCCAGTCCAGAAGACCATTTCCCTTGATAGTGAGCTAAGCTCATTTCTGGGCAGCAGAATACAGCACAGCAAAGAACAAAAAATTGCAGAGAAATAAGCACATCTTATGAGTTATAGGCCATTTCTAGTTTCTTCCTCTCCCACGCTCTCCTAGTGAAACCATCACATCCATATTCTTTAGGTTACAAACATTACTAGTTTATTTTATTACTTTGTTGTTGTTGTTTGAGACAGGTTCAAACTATAAGTGTTGGCTGGCCTTACACTCAACATGTAGACCAGGCCAACTCTGAATCCAGAGACTCACCAGACTCGGCCACCTCAGTGCTGGGATTAAAGGAATACAACACTACACCGAGCCTTCCACTTAACGATTTTAAATCATTGGCTCGTATTATAAGTGTGTGTGTGTGTGTGTGTGTGTGTGTGTGTGTGTGTGTGTGTGTGTGTGTGTGACAGAGACAGAGAGAGACAGAGACAGAGACAGACAGACAGACAGACAGACAGACAGACAGACAGACAGACAGACAGACGCACACTCTCTTTTATGTAGCTATGGCTGTCCTAGAACTCACTATGTAGACCAGGCTGGCTTCAAATTCAGTGATCTGCCTGCCTCTGTCACCGAGTACTGGGATTAAAAGTATTACCACAACACCTGGCTAGAGATCATTTTCAAAGCATTATTCTGGTTGAAAACTACAATATTTTTGAACTTATGTAATGTTCCTAGCTTTAAGAAATAATTTACTCTACTGAAAAAAACTTTTATCTCTCTTAACTGATTTTAGACATACTAGCTAGAATAAATTAGTAGTTTTATTTGTTTCGTTGTTTACGGGGCATCAAATTAACTAGAACTTAGTACGGGGCAACAGAAATATTATCTTTCCTGTTTCCATATAGAATTGGTATCTAAAAGAATGAGGAATGAATAACTGCATTAGTTGTTCCTATGTTGCATTTCCAAACTATCCATATAGACATAAGGTTTTTACCAATTATAGTTTCAACTACCTTCTCTTTCTGAGTCAAGGCTTCAGTCTGGGCAGGAACTCACTGTGCATCCTGCTATGGACTCCCAAGCACTGGAACTATAGTCATGTGCTACTATGCTCAAAGATGCCCTTTCCTTTGTGCCTCACAATTCTAATAATCCCTGTGAGATTATTATTAATTATAAACTAAATAATAGATTAGAGCTGGATCTTCTTTTAGATTGTATGACTCAAAGTCTTACAATCAATTAAAGGAAACCTGTTAACAATTTGGCAAATGCAACAATTATGAACCTGTAATTCTCATTTAATAGTATTCATTTTAATCTCAGTGGTGGTTGGTGCATGCCTTTAATTCCAGCACTCTGGAGACAGAGGCAGGTGGATCTCTTGTGAGTTCAGGCCAGCTTGGTCTACAGAGGGAGTTCCAGGTCAGCCAGAGTCACACAAAGAAACCCTGTCTTGAAAATAAAACAAAATAAAAAAGATTTTGATAATGCTCATCACATCTTGTAGAAAGAGATATAAAAAATGATGCTGAGTAGTAAAGATTTTCCTAAGCATTTCCTTGAAGCAGGGAAACACAAGACATTTATAATCTTCAAATTAAAACCACGATTTCGGGCTGGAGAGATAGCTCAGCGGTTAAGAGCCTGCTCTTCCAAAGGTCCTGAGTTCAATTCCCAGCAACCACAAGATGGCTCACAACCATATGTAATGAGATTTGGTGCCGAACACTGTACACATAATAAACAAACAAACACGATTTCACTTTACTTGTAGCAAGTGCCTCAAGATTAAACCATAAAAGAGAAAGACATGACTTAAATGACACTGCTTAAATTTTTACGTAAAATCTCTACATGCCCAAAGTTGCAAATGCCACTGTTTGTTAGCTAGAGACAGCAGAAGAAGAAACAGATGGGAGCTTGCACAGTCTGCAGAAAGCAAATCACACAACTCACTGCTAAGTACTGGGGCCCAAGAGTGTTCAGACTAGCCAGGTTTCCCCACACAGATGCTGCACTGATCTGTTGCATCTGTTGCTGGAGCTGCTGGGCCATTCTCTTCTGTTCTTTGTCCTTCTGGGTGTCAGCAAATTTTACCACCATGGGGGATGAGCAACCCTATGAAAACATCAAAACCAAAGGGTCAAATTCCTTCTTTAGGGACCAGGGAGATGGTTCAGTGAGTAAAGGAGCTTATTGCAAGCTGGATGACCTGAGTTGGATCCCTGAAGCCCACAGAGTGGAAAGGGAAGACCGACCCTTACAAATTGCCCTGATTTCTGCATCTATACTGTGGATGAATAGGAATACACAGGAACACAGAATTTAAAACAACAACAAAACTTCCTCCTGGGCTGGAGAAGGAAACCATCCTTTTTGTTTATACGAAAGCTGCATTCTAATTTCCACCGCCCCTAAATGGCTTTTTTGATAGAAAGTAGTGGCAAAAGACTATTTCTAATAATCATTTTCTGTTTATTATTTTTAAAACAGGGAGGTCTTACTATGTTGCGAAGTTGGTTCTTAACTACTGGGTTCAAGTGCTCCTCCTGTCTTAGCCTGAATCACTGGGTCTATAAGTATTCATTGTATCTAACTCAAAGATGTTAGCTGTTTATTTAAAGAGTTATTACTTATTCTATATGCATGAGTGTTTTCCCTACTTGTATGTATGGGCACCACATGCATTTATGGTCCCAAGGAGGCAAGAAGATGGTATTGAATCCCCTAGAACTGTAGTTACAGATGGTGTGAGCCACCATGTGGATGCTGGGAATCAAACACAAGTCCTCTGCAAGATCATGAGGTACTCTAAACCACTTGAGCTCCATCATTTTAAACTTACTATTTCAGACCTTAAGGTAGACTATGTTAAGTTTCAGGATGATCTGGTGTTGTACATGCTGCTAGATTTTGATAGGTAGCTATCCCAGCACTGCCAGGCAAAGGATTTTCCTGGCAAGGGATTTTTTTCCTCTTCCACCTGTCTGCTCCTTACCTCCATGGTTTGTGCTTGGTGCATTGCTTTGATAGCTGTCTGTGCCATCGTTCTTGTTGTAAAAGTCACAAATGCACAACCTAGTAAGGAAAGATAATCAATATTCATTTGTTTAGAGATTTATCTGTCAGACATTAACTAAACATCTAACTTACTGTGTGCTAACTACCATGTTAGCAATACAAGTGATCCTACTTTTTATGGTTTCACAAGTTGATACAATAGATAGAATGGTCATGATGGTACCATGAGCTACCAAGGAACTGCAAATAGGAGGAATGACTGATTGAGGGAGAAGCAAAGAGTCCCACTTCTGCTAAAAAGCAAATGTGAGGGGAAAATGGTTGTATGTGGACATCAAGATCCCCAGCAATCAAGAGAAATTAAGGAGACAGAACTTCTTAAGCAGGACTGGCAAAACACAAAAGGGATCAACTGGTAAGGCATGGTGGCGCATACCTTTGATCCCAGTACCAGGCAGAGGCAGATGGATCTCTGTGAGTTCGAGGCCACCCTGGTCTACAAAGCAAGTTCCAGGACACATCCAGGGCTACAGAGAAAAACCCTGTCTGGAAAAACAACAAAGAGAAGAAGAAGAAGAAAAAGAAAAAGAAAGGATGGAAGAAAGGAAGGGAGAGAGAGAGAGAGAGAGAGAGAGAGAGAGAGAGAGAGAGTGGGGGGGGAAGGAGGGAAGGAAGGAAGGAAGGAAGGAAGGAAGGAAAACAAAAGGGATCAGCTAGCGAGAGGAATGACAAGATCAGGTGTACAGCAAGAGGTAGCAGGCCCAACCTCTTATTTATGGTGGCTTCATCTATCTGTCTTCCACTAGTCCTGTTAAATAAGAGACTGCAATTAAAGACAAGCATCTTTTTTAAAAGCTATAAAAATGTACCACCTCGGCTCAAGCCATCAGGTCCCCGCAATATCCGGCATTCTTCAATCTGTCCAAATGAAGAGAACATGACTCGGATGTCATTTTCAGTACACTTCTTGGAAATCATACCAATAAACAGCTTCCTGTCTTCCACAGCTAAAAGAGTAAAACACAAAAGTCTTGGACATTATCACTAAAAAGCAGTGTAGTATATATAGCCAAGAGCCAAAGGGTTTGAATCCTGGCTGTGTATCATATGATCCATTTCACAGATTCTTTTTCGAGAGGTTCTCTCTCTCTCTCTCTCTCTCTCTCTCTCTCTCTCTCTCTC